GCTCCGTCACCCTCAGAGGGAAGAAGTTCTTCCTCATGTTCAGACGGAACTTCCTGTGCCTCAGTTTGAACCCATTGCCCCTTGTCCTGTCACTGGGCACCACTGAAAAGGGCTTGGCCCCATCCTCCTGACACCCACCCTTCAGATATTTATAAGCATTTATTAGGTCCTTAAGCACGACGCTTAAGGAAGGAAGCAGCAGCAGATACACCGAGAGGAGATGCTTTGGACGTGACTTGCTCCTCTTCTCTTGCCATGTATGAAAAGCAGGACATTCACTTCAGCACAGATTACGCAGGGATGAGGCTGGAGACATCACCACTTGGGATTTGGTCTGAAGTAGCAGTCGGTGGGGACCATTCCTGCCCTGGAGTGAGGGGCTGGCCAAAGGAACAAACCATTCTCCTTTCTCTCCAGACCCATCTCCAGACCAGGAACTGAATAAAAAGTGTCTGGAAAAATCAATTATGTCTCCTGTGATCTTAATGGTTAAGTCTCCAACATCCACCTACACCCAGGGTGAGCACGTGGATCCGCGCGTGCAGCGGGGACACTGTGGACGAAGCCGTCACCCTGCCCCCAGAGCTCTGGGCATGGCACCAGGCAGCGAATGTGACGCACGATTACAAAACCGAGATGCTAATTCACAGCCAGCTGCAGTAGGGACTTGGCAAACGGAAGCCAGCGTGTCCACTCAGTGATGATGTCCAAGGATCAAGTTTCAAGCTTTGTTACGATTCTTTTTGATTTCTGTTCCCCTGATTAGCTTTCTCTGCAACCTGATTATTATTCACGCCCTGAAGAGGCTGCTTGTCACAGCGGGATGATGCAACCCTGTGACCGAAGCGTGAGGCAGTGCTGGGAAACGCATTCAGCATGACACGACTCAACAGCAGACTGGCTCTCGCTGGGATGCTCTCTCCTCAAGGGTCCCTAACGCACATCAGGAAAATCTACCTAGCAGGCTTCGCCAGAGTGGGAACCGGTGAGCGATCCGGGCTGCCTGGTTCGAATGCATCCTCCATGGCTCTGGGTGAGCCAGGCAGCAGCAGAGCACTCAACAGTTTCCTACTTACTAAACTGTACCACAAAAAAAAAGTTAAATCTTTTTGCAAAGGCCTGAAGCATCCTTCTCCCTTTCTGCTTTCTTGCTGTAGCACATTGCCGTTTTTGTTCTTTTACGCTGTTACGCTCGGAGGGTGCTGGGGGCTGGGCAGGGGGGTGCTCAGCAGACGCCAGACAGGAGCGTCTGTAGCCCATCTGCATCAGGGACGGCGGCCAGGAACCAGCTCCGTGTTGCAGATGAATTTTTCCTCTCCTTTACCCTTCGGTTTATTTGTTAGTATAAATAACGGCTGGGGGGGTGCAAAAAGGACTTGCAATGGTTAGGAGGAGGAGAAGTGAAAGGTGCAAGAAAACTCTGGAGGACACGGAAAACGTAAAAGGCAGAGGAGGCTTCCTGGAGACACCCATACGAACATGGAATCTGCATTGCTTAAGATCACCCACCCAGAAGCAGCTTTCACGTCTGGACTATTCAGCTTTACAACCGTGATTCAAAGGGAGGATGGCCTTAAAGCCATGCTGTTTTACAGAAACCATCCCAACAGGGATGACGGCTCTCCCATGGCTTGCGATTCCTTCACTTGCACCATCACCGGGGCTCGACCGCAGCACCGTGGACGGGCTGCGGAGACGCAGGGCTTCTGCTGACCCCCGTGACCCAGCCTGCTGCACACTTGGCACTCAGCTCCCTCTCCCCTATCCCTGCACCGGCCCTGCCACGAGTAGGAAGATGCCATCCTGGGGGATGCCACCCATCCCTGCCCACCGAAACCATCCAGCACAGCGTAACCAACCAAGCAAAATGAAAGCACGTGACCACCTACCAACACACCTTGGCAGAGGCGAACTCCACACACGCCGTCTCCCCCCGAGGCAGGTGATGCGGGATGCGCCCTCCAGCCGGTAGCCGGGGAAGCAGGAAAAGGTGAGGACATCCCCCACTCCGAACTGCAGGCCCTTCCTGATGCTATAGGCTGGCACCTCCGGCTCGTCACAGGGCTCCAAATCATATTCTGTGGGGAACAAACAGACACTTACGGAAGGGCAGGGTGACACCTCGCTCTCACCAGTGAGGGTAGCCCAGTCCCTGACCACGAGGATGAGGAGGGAGCTCTGAGTTTGGATCCAGCCACAGTGACGCTCTGCAAAGGAAGCCTCCACGCAAGACGTAGCCCTGCTGAGGCCACGAACACCAGCTTGGGTTTCACTCGCAGCGTGCAGCCCCAGGGCGTTGCCAGGATCTTGACTGGAATCAACTCAAAATACAACAGGTCTCGTTTTCTGTCACCGTTGTCAGACAAACAAGAAAGTGACATCAGCGATGACAAAACACGGTGAAGATTTGTCATTCTCCCTCTGGTCCAGTCCAGGGAAGATGAACTGATCCGGCTGGGATTTCTGCTGTCTCTGCGTGGCCAACCCTGAAAATGAATGAACGCAGCATCCTGCTCGGGGAACGCAGGAGAACATTCCAGCTGCTGCTAAATGGAAGGTCATGTAGCATTACGGCTAATAGCCAAACGTGTGTCTCTGACCACAGAACATTCTGAAGGAAACCTGTTTTGAGGGCTATTTTTTGAAAAATAACAGATCTGCAAAGTACAAGGCCTTTGTACTTGCATAGTACAAAATATGGTTAAGATGTAACTGTCTCCCATTTTCATTTTCCAAGAAAGGAAACAGGTCCCCAAACACATTAAAAATAATAGTTATAATTAGAAAATTTGACTCAATTCTTTTAAGGCAAAAAGCCATTTTTCCCCCTCAAAATGAAAGTTAATTGGAAACTTTCAGACTAGTTTCCATGGAGCATCAGACGCAAATCCCTGACTTCAGAGGCCAGAATAACGGTATCAGAAGCCAGCGCTCTCAGTGCAGCAGGTTTTATCTGCATCTATGGCAACGGCTCCATCCGCCAAAGCCAGCCAGCACAGCAGCACCGAGCTCCCCAGTAAAACCAGTCATTTCCCTCCCACACCAGCCTGCTGAATTTGCAGCTGCTGCCCTCAGGACTAAATATGCTGAGACACAGTAAAGAACAGCGCCGACACAGTAAGCGTTGTCCATTAACTGATTGCTTTACAGCAGGGCTTGTCGGGGCACTCGGGCAGTAAAGATGCTGTTTTCTGAGAGGTGTGCACGGGCAAACACTCGGGCAGTCATCTGCAGGCCTTCGGGTTAAAGGACGCCGTTAAACACCTTGCGCCCTTCAACCAGAGACCACCCATGCAAAGCAACCCTTGGCAAGTGCGATGATCTGTTCTGCATAGGCAAACGCGCCTTTCTTCGAGCGTCTCCACAAGAGCACTGCACACACGCTACTCTTCACTGACAACTGCTGAAAATCTGGAATTTCTGTTGAAGAAACCAGCATTTGGTATAATCACAAAGAGTTGGAGCCTGCAACCGAAGCGGCTTGGTTCAGTAAGTGCCGGGCTGGACTGGCTCACTGGGAATGCTGAGGGCAGAAGCACGGCCAGATCTTCCCCACCACAGCAGGGCTGAGCAGGGATGCTGCAGCCAGCAAAATCCCGCATCCCTTCATGCCCTGCTACGTGCCCCAGCAGGTCTGCTTCCAGCTGCCGTCATAGCAGGTCAACTGGAGGAAGCCCAGCACGGGAAAATACTGCCAGTTCCCCAGCAATGCCAGTGGGCCCATGGAAACCCGGACTCGGCTGCACATGGCACATGTTGCCTCTAGCACAGGCTGAAGTCAGCTGCAGAGGCTGGGTCACTGGAGGAGCATCCAAGTGAAGCAACGAACCAACGGAAAAGAGAGAGACCAGACGGACAATGGGAGTGACCAGCTCTGCCTTGCTCCTTATCCAAGAGGGCCAGATTGCTCAACGCTGCCTTCCAAAAGCTCCCATCTGTCCCAGCTTCCCATGTTGGAAATGTTGTAACTACTGCAGTGATTTTCCACTGATAAACAGAGAAGGAAGGCATCTGGAGGAAAGGGGATAAGGATACCGCAACAAAATGCCAGGTGAAACTCCATAAACAGAGCAGAAAAGATGACCTCGTGAGGAGGGAGAAGGCAACAAACACCTCTGTGGTGGAATTTAATTCCAGTGGGTTCAATCCAGTCACCCACTGGGGCTCAAGGCAGACAAAACTGCTACATCTGGTGCTATGCGGACCGCACTGAGAATATTTCTTGGGACATACTGTGGTTTAATGCTAGAATAATTTATTGGGTTTACATGAGGAGGGAGCGTCAGTGACCCAAATCACGTGCACTACATCAACAAAGGTAATCCCAAGATTTGCAGAAAAGTGGGAAGGAAAGGGAAAGAACGAAGTTCTTGTCCACCTCTGCCCTTACCTGAGAAGGTGATGTTGAAACCCTCATAGGACATGGAGAAGTCCGAGATGAAGCGAATTTGAGCAGAGAAGTTTCCGAAGAGCCCTGCGCTAAGCGGGGCAGGGAGCCGAGAGCCCGTCAGTTGCTTCAGTGGCTGAGCAAAGCTGGTATTTTCAGTGATGAGGAGGTAGTCGTGGCCATTCTCCAAGTGAAAGGTATGAAAGGTGAAGAACACACCTGCAAGGGAGGAAACCCAGAGATGGCTTCAGCCAGCAGCGTTCATAGGGCACCCCTCGTCCCAGAGCCAAAGCCCCTCTCCTCTCCCTGGGACGACACCAGCATTGATTCCCTGTTTTCCAGTAAATAGCAGCTCAACTGGGAAGAAAAAGCACACTGAGAAGAAACGAAATAGATGAAAAAAGTAAAACAAAGGTACGGTACAAGGCCCAGAACAGAGCAAGGCAGTTAAGATCTTCGATCCCTGCGCCTTTGCTACACAGGAACAGAGACAACATCGGCTCGCTCGAGGGATGGATCAGCAGCAGAAAGGACAGAGCCTGGCAGCTTAGAGGAGTATTTTATTTTAAAAGCGCTGACCTTTAGATGGGTAGCAGCAACAGTAAAAGCTGTAGCTGTGAGGACTTGAAAACAACAAAACCAAGTTATGTTCTGGAAGGAATTCATACCTAGAAAAATCGGACTTAAGCCAAGCATCAAGGTCAGAGAGGCTTTTCCAGAAGAATGCCAGCAGTGTGACTGCAGAGACTTCGTATGCTCACCTTCACCGGGACCGAACGCTGGTCCCCGGAGGCTGGAGGCCAACAGGACTGATCACACATGGACAAACCCGTCTCTCCAGCCACACACGGCCATAAGCCATGCATCCCCCGAGTAAGGGCTGCATCACGCAGCCACGCACCCTTCCAGCAGCACCCAGCCCCTCGCTGCGGGGCCCGGCCCAGCCCTGTCCCCGTCCCTGTCCCCTCCGGGCCCTGCTGTCCCCTCCAAGGCACGTGCTGGGAAGCGCGCCTGCAGCCACGGCAGATTTTGGCAGGGCACACAGAGGCAGGGAGGTCAGCCTGGGTCTTGCCAGCCATAGCAGATCTTAGAAGCGAAGAGAATCTTACACTTTTATCCACATTATACTGAAAAAAATAAAAGCCACAACAGACCCAGCAAAAGAAAGAAGAGACAACACAGGAAAACTATTTTGTCTCTTCTTCCAAATTCAACAGTGTGAAGCATTTTGGTGAGCAGGCTGTGACCTCGCTGCATTTGTAAATGAACGAGACCGGAGTAATGCATTACTTCAAGTATCCTTCACACCTACGACACAGAACAGTAACCACTTCAGGCTTCTGCAAAAGCCTCCAGCTAGGCGATTTTTCATGCTGGAATCCAAACGCAGTTAGAAACACTTATTCTCTGGAAAATAATTCCATCTCTGAAAAACAAAACATGGCAGCAACAGCCTTCAGAGAGCAAAGTCAGGCAGGACCCTGGATCAGAAACCCCGTCACACCCCCGTCGCAGGAAGACAGCGACCTGAAGCGACGCCGAGCAGTTGTTCTACGCCTGCTTTCCCCCACAGCTCTTCGCACGCTTGCTGAGCACCCAGGGGCTGCTCCCGAGCCCCGCTCAGGCAGAGCTGGGCTGTGGGCTGCCCTTGGCCCCGCTGAACGCGACGGGGCTGTTTGCAGAGACACGGACTCCTCCGCGCGCACACAAGCGCTGTAATCCAGCCTTCATCAGTCACAGTTAGCTCCCCACCTCCTCGCACGCATCAGGAGTGCCCCGTGGCAGGAGCAAGTTATTTCATTTAAGCCAGTGATTAACAACGCAGAGACTGCCAGCCTGGTGAGACCCAAGGGCTGTCTTGCTCTGCATCCCATCGCTGCCAAAGCACAGCATCAGCTGGTTCAAAAGCAAGCACAGGAAATCTGTAAATAAGGATCAGAGGAATAATCTCCTCCTTGCTCCCCATTCATTTCTGGAGATCAGGATGAGACCAACCTAGAGACTGATTAAAGCTCTGGAGCATGAGATTTAATATCCATCCCAACAGTTTTTTGTTGGCATCAAATTATAAGTCTGAATATTCCATTTATCCCTATGTCTCTCCAATTTCTTTCTGAAGGTTTACTGGTCACATGCAAGCAGTCTCCTTCCAAGAAATGAAGGACAGAGAGGTTGGTAACCAATACAAAGCCCTTCCCACAGAAATCATTGAACTGGGAAGAAGCAGCAGGGCTCACAGGGTCATCTCCACTGCCCCGTTCTCTCCCCGTCTTTATCCCTGCCACGCAGCTCATCGCCCCTTGCCAACCTTCAGTGTCCCAGGCAGAAATATTTGTGTAACTCACTGCTTAATGATGACTGAGAAGGATCTTGACTAACAATTCCTTCCTTATATCCAGGTAAATATTATATGGAGCCTGGAAGAAAAATTTTAGTTCCACCGTTCCCCCCGCAGAACTCCACGAAGGTAGCAAACATCTACCCGCTTCCAAATGTTTACTACTCTTACCAGCAATGCAGTCAATTGAAAATAGATATGACCTGTTTTGGCCTGAAAATGTGGTGAGATGCAGTGAATACAAAATGTCTCAAGTTCTCCCTGTTTATCAAACTGACAGCAAATTTCTACCCTTGCCTTTACAAAACCCAGTCTGAGGAACAGAAATAATATCACTTCACAAAAATCAACACACCAGCAGAGAAACACAGGCACCTTTCTGGCCCCAGAACGGGGAGGACAGCCCCTGTCTCCAGGTCCTCTATGTTACCAACCCCAACCACGAGGCCTCTCCAGCAGCACAGCCAGTTAGAGGCAATGTAACTGCAGCCGTGAGGGCTAATTACAACCTCATTTTAAGAGATCTCTGACTCTGCTTCAGCCTTTGCTCTGGTCTGAAATTTACTGTGGCACAAATTGTCTCTGCAAATGCAGGTTTGTGGGTTTTTTCCATTCTCTGTAAAAGAAACAACAAAAAAAATTCTAGGGAAAAGAAATCACTTTGAAGTTCTCAGATTAAAAATAATAGTCTCTCTTTAAGGGTTTAAATACCTTTAAAATTAAGCTGCTTTTAAACTCAAATTGTACAGCTCACGAGTCTCATAAAGTAAATCAGTGTCTGCAGTCACATAAAAATAACTATTATAACAAGCAACTTGCTTCAATTAGGGGACTCGTGTGCTGGCCACGTGCGAGATGTCCATAAAGATCTGGGAGTGAACTGCTTGAGACCAGCTCTTAGGACGCAGACCACCCCTGCTCGGCAGGGCAGGGAGGCACCAGCCCCCAGCTCTGTGCTGTGTCCCAGGAACAGAAAGCCCTGCCAGGCCTGGGGCAGCAGCACTGCTGCCAGCCCGAGCAGTACGGCGTTGGAAACATAAAACTATAAGAATAATCAGGTACAACGACAAGCGCTTCAGTCATGTAAATACATCCCCTGCTTGTAGCAGAATTATTCAGGCTTTAGCAAGCACCACATCTACCCAGCGATCAGCGCCGCACGCCGCGGTCTCCAGGAACAGGGAACTGCAAGGCAAGGACAAAGCACAGCGAGAAGGCTCCAGTCCTGTGCTGCAAGTGCACTGCCGGTGAAGTTAGCTGAGAAGGGGGCTCAGTTCTATCTTTTTTTAAAGCCTGTTCTGTTCTCCAAGGATTATTTTCTTTCCATTCCAGCAGCCACTGCTCTGACTCAGGATCAGACTGTTCCACTGCTCTT